GATCAACAAAGAAACAAGAGCCTTGAATGACACTTTGGACCAGATGGACTTCGTAGATATGTAGAGAACATTCCATCCTAAAACAACAGAACACTCTTTCTTCTCAAGTGCACATGGAACTTTCTCCAGAATAGATCACATATTGGGTCAAAAATCAGGTCTCAACCAACACCAAAAGATTGAGATTATTCCCTGCATGTTTTCAGATGACAATGCTTTGAAATTGGAATTCAATCACAAGAAGAAATTTGGAAGGAAGTCAAACACTTGGAGGTTAAAGAGAATCTGGTTAAAGGATGAATGGGTCAACCCAGAAATTAAAGAACTTAAACAATTCATTGAAACCAATGACAATGAAAATACATTGCTTCAAAACCTATAGGATACTGCAAAAGTAGTCCTAAGAGGGCAGTACATCACCATCCAAGCCTCTCTCAAAAAATTAGAAAAATTCCAAATGCACAAGCTAACCTTACACCTAAAGGACCTGGAGAAAACAGCAAATAAAACCTAAACCCAGTAGGAGAAGAGGAACAATAAAGTTTAGAGAAGAGATCAATGAAATAGAAACAAAAAGAACCATAGAATGAAACTAGTAGCTGGTTCTTTGAATTAATATGATTGATAAACCTCTAGCCAGACTTATCTGAAACAAAAGAGAAAGGATCCAAATTAATGAAATCATGAATGAAAGGGGATAAATCACAACCAATACCAAAGATTTAGAGACAATTGTTGGAACTTATTACCAGCACCTATTTGCCAGCAAATTAGGCAATCTGGAAGAAATGGATGCATTCCTGGAATCTTATAAACTATCAAGACTGAAACAGGAAGAAATTTACCATCTGAACAGACCCATAACCAGCAAGGAAATTGAAGCAGTAATCAAAGCCCTCCCAACAAACAAGAGCCCAGGGCTAGATGGCTTCCCAGGGGAATTCTACCAAACATTTAAAGAAGAAATAATACCTGTTCTACTGAGGCTGTTTCAAAAACTAGAAATAGAAGGAAAACTTCCAAACACTTTCTGTGAGGCCAGGATTACCCTGATACCAAAACCAAAGACCCCACCAAAAAGGAGAATTACAGACCAATATCCCTGATGAATATGGATGCCAAAATTCTCAACAAGATCCTAGCCAATAGGACCCAACAATACATTAAAAGGATTATTCACCACGACCAGGTGGAATTTATTCCTGGGATACAAGGGTGGTTCAATTCGCTAATCAATCTACTTGATAGATCACAGTAACAAAAGAAGAGAGTGATGCATAAAAAGCGTTTGACAAAATACAGCATCCTTTTCTGATTAAAACTTTTCAAAGTATAGGGGTAGAGGGAACATACCTCAATTTCATAATAACCATCTCTGAAAAGCCCACAGTGAATATCATTTTCTGTGGGGAAAAACTGAGAGCTTTTCCTTTATGGTCAGGAACGTGACAGGGATGCCCACTGTCACCACTATTGTTCAAGATAGTACTAGAATTCCTAGCCTCAGCAATCAGACACAAAAAGAAATAAAAGGCATTCAAATTGGCAATGAAGAGGGGCACCTGGGTGGCTCAGTCGTTGAGCGTCTGCCTTTGGCTCAGGTCGTGATCCTGCGGTCCTGGGATTGAGCCCCACATCGGGCTCCCTGCTCGGCGGGGAGCCTGCTTCTCCCTTTCCCTCTCCCCCTGCTTGTGTTCCCTCTCTCGCTGTGTCTCTCTGTCAAATAAATAAAATCTTTAAAAAAAAAAAACAAAAACAAATTGGCAATGAAGAAATCAAACTCTCTCTTCACAGATGACATGATACTTTATGTGGAAAACCCAAAAGACTCCACCCCCAAATTACCAGAACTCATACAGCAATTTAGCAATGTGGCAGGATACAAAAATCAATGCACAGAAATCGGTTGCATTTCTATACACTAACAATGTAGAAAAAGAAATTAAGTAATTGATTCCATTTACAATAGCTCCAAAAACTGTAAGATACCTCGGAATAAACCTAACCAAAGAGGTGAAGGATCTATACTCTAGAAACTACAGAACATTTATGAAAGAAATTGAGGAAGACACGAAGAGATGGAAAAACATTCCATGCTTATGGATTGGAAGAATAAACATTGTGACAATGTCTATACTCCCCAGAGCAATCTACACATTCAATGCAATCCCTATCAAAATACCATCAATGTTTTTCACACACAGAGCTGGAACAAACAATCCTAAAATTTGAATGGAACCAGAAAAGACTCTGAATTGCCAGGGGAATGTTGAAAAAGAAAACTAAAGTTGGGGGCATCACAATGCCTGGCTTCAAACTATATTACAAAGCTGTGATCATCAAGACAGCATAGTATTGGGACAAAATCAGACACGTAGATCAATGAAACAGAGTAGAGACCCCAGAAATGGACCCACAACTCTATGGTCAACTAATCTTCGACAAAAGAGGAAAGCATATCCAATGAAAAAAAAAGTCTCTTCAATAAATGGTGCTGGGAAAATTGGACAGCCACATGTAGAAGAATGAAACTGGACCATTCTCTTACACCACACACAAAGATAAACTCAAAATGGATGAAAGGCCTCATTGTGAGACAGGAATCCATCAAAACCCTAGAGGAGAACATAGGCAGTATCCTCTTCGACATCAGCCACAGCAACTTTTTTCAGGACACATCTCCAAAGGCAAGGGAAACAAACGCAAAAATGAACTTTTGGGACTTCAAGATAAAAAGCTTCTGCACAGCGAAGGAAACAGTCAACAAAACAGAGAGGCAACCCACGGAATGGGAGTGGATATTTGCAAATGACACTACAGATAAAGGGTTAATATCCAAGATCTATAAAGAACTTCTCAAATTCAACACTCAAGAAACAAATAATGACATACAAATGGCCAACAGACACATGAAAAAATGTTCATCATCATTAGCCATCAGGGAAATTCAAATCAAAACCACACTGAGATACCACCTTACACCAGTTAGAATGGCAAAAATTAAGAAGGCAAGAAACATCAAATGTTAGGTTGTGGAGAAAGGGGAACCTTCTTACACTGTTGGTGGGAATGCAAGTTGGTACAACCACTTTGGAAAACAGTGTGGAAGTTCCTCAAAAAATTAAAAATAGAGCTACCCTATGACCCAGCAAGTGCACTATTGGGTATTTACCCTAAAGGCAGATGTAGTGAAAAGAAGGGCCATATGCACCCCAATGTTCATAACAGCCATGTCCACAATAGTGAAACTGTGGAAAGAGCCGAGATGCCCTTCAACAGATGAATGGATAAAGAAGATGTGGTCCATATATACAATAGAATATTACTCAGCTGTCAGAAAGGATGAGTACCCAACTTTTACATTCACATGGATGGGCCTGGAGGAGATTATGCTAAGTGAAATAAGTCAAGCAGAGAAAGTCCATTATCCTATGGTTTTACTTATTTGTGGAACATAAGGAACAGCATGGAGGACATTAGGAGAAGGAAGGGAAAAGTGAAGGGGGGGAAATCGGAGGGAGAGGTGAACCATGAGAGACTATGGACTCTGAGAAACAAACTGAGGGTTCTAGAGGGGAGGGGGGTGGGGGATGGGTTAGCCCGGTGATGGGTATTAAAGAGGGCACGTTCTGCGTGGAGCACTGGGTGTTATATGCAAATAATGAATCATGGAACACTACATCAAAAACTAATGATGTACTGAATGGTGACTAACTTAACACAATAAAATTAAATTAAAAAAAAGAGTAACATCCTTGAACAATTTTCAGATAGGGTTGCAATATGTTTGAAATTGTGTATTTTCCATTTTTGAATGAGAACATAGAGTAATTTTTACATGATAATATGGGCAGACACATGGGTCTGAACAATGCCAAGAGCATAATTAATTTGAAAATGAGTTGGTATTGCTTATAGAATCTACACTTAAGATTTGGGCTCATATGTGCTGACCAAGTGAACTGTATTTGTCAGAAATGCGGTGCTTTCAAGAATGAAACCAAGTCCATTTACTATAATAGTTTTTGTTTCCATTAGTGGTTGTGATTGCATTAACTATGGGCCTTTTGAAATTTGGTAACTAATTAGTGCCATCTTTAAATGATGTCCAAAATGATATCTCACAAATGCTGAAATCTAGGCTAGAATCAATAGTGTTTCATGAGGAGGAACCAGGGTAGTTTTAGAAGATACATTTCATTCTGCTGTTGCAAAATGGTTTTGAATTCGTTTTCATTATTATAAGGTAATTCTCTAGGCACTGAGATTTTGAAAAAAATTAAAGCAAGTTTACATTCCCAAAGCTTGTTTAACAGTAAAAGTAGTTTTTAAAAAACTGTCATGATCATCTGAATACAATTATAACTATATTAATTGGCCAGATGACCAAAAAGATGGATACAAAATTAGTTTTGTAAATGCCATTAATAGAATAGTGAGTAAACCCATCCCACCTCACAAAGGTCACAACTAATACTGAAAAACCTCTTTAAAAAGGGCAGGGGCGCCTGGGTGGCTCAGTCAGTTGAGAGTCTGCCTTCCACTCAGGTCATGATCCTGGGGTACTGGGATCAGGCTGCTTGCTCAGTGGGGAGTCTGTTTCTCCTTCTCCCTCTGCCTGCTTCTCACACTGCTTGTGCTCTCTCTGTCAAATGAATGAATAAAATCTTAGAAAAAGAACATTTAAAAAAATAAGAATAAAAAGGGCAAAAACATTACACTAAACATTTAAACATTACAAAAACATTACATTAGTAACAACAGCACTCTTATTTTAAAGGAGAAGAACTAAGTACATTATCAGCATCTGAGGTCCCTGTAAATACCTACTTTCCTTGGTGGATTTGTTAAAGAATGGGGCATAGTTTTAAGGCAGCCTTGTCAATTTCAGGTAGTTCTGGAGAAGAATATGAACCTCCCCGATATTCAAGTTTAAACTTCTTTCTACTTTTCCACTTACCTACTTTTTATTTGTGTGTTTCTTTCCTTTTTACTGTCAGGAAGGGCCACCTTCAGAGGGCCAATTCCGTCCAGTATGATATAAACCTGGTAGAGACAAGCAGTACTGGTGCCCACCACAGTAAGTAAATTCAAAATAAAACGCTCATTTTAAAGCCCTGGATGAGATTGTTGTTTTACATGTAGGGATTTGGATTTAACCAAAAGGTTGACCCAAGAAAATTTTTGTAGAGGTTTTGACATCAATATGGATTTCTTATTAGCAACATGACACTAGTCATCTTTCTTGTTTTTCCCCCAGAGCAAACCATGTTATCTCAATATGTGAAATTATGTTGTTAGCTATAATGTGTTACATATAATGTAAGGGGTTAGTTTCTCCAGAAGTAATTTGAAGTGGACTGGTATGTATAGAGGAGGAGCATTTTTTCCTGTAAGGATAGGCAAGTACTTGGGAAACTTGGAGACCAATTAATGTTTGAAATGTATCTTAAGACTTCTATTTCTGGCCAAGATGGAGTAGCAGGGATTGAATTTACCTCCTACTTTAAACAGCAAAAGAAATAAAATGGATATAATACATGAATGGTTATAATACACAGGTTTTCAAGACATCGGACATCAGGAAACAAAGGATCATGACCCCTGAGAGATGGGGCACAGAAGAGGTGAGCCAGTGGTCGCCTCAGGTTATTGCTTTGCAAGACTTTATAGGACGTGGCACAGGGTGGGGGAACCGAGGCTGAGCTTGGTAGACTCCCTGAGTTGAAAAGATAAAACTGCGTCTAGATGGTCGGTGAACAGAATACTAGGCAAAATAGCTGCACAGAGAGAATTCCAGAGATCTTCAGTTCAAGTATTCAGCTGAGTGTTAATCAGTACAGATATAGTGGGAAAATATTTGAGGTTAGGGACAGAATTACTTGAAAGGATTCGAGGAGTCCAGTACTCACACAGGGCTGGGAAAAATATCTGTTCCCAGTAATAAAACTAAAAAATCCAGTTATTCATGGGGCACTAGGTAGAGTACAGAGAAGAGTGTTTCCCCAATAGAGGGGAATAATTAGCCCTACATTAAGCACTGTTCCAGGGCTGCCTAACAAACCTTAAAAGTGAGAACTGAGTCAATTTGTTTCTAAATAACTGCATCCCAGATTAATGTTCAATAAGGCAAAAAAACCCAGTACCCAACAGATACAATTCATTGCCTTGCATCCAGTCAAAAATTACCAACCTGTTGGTTTAACATAACAATGTGATACACCACAATAACAGAATGAAAGATAAAAACCACATGATCATCTTGATAGATGCAGAAAAAGTAGTTGACAAAGTTCAACATCCACTAATGATAAAAACTCTGAACAAAATAGGTATAGAGGAAATTTCCTCAACATAATAAAGGCTATTTATGAAAATTCCACATCTAGCATCATTATCAATGGGAAAAAATTGAAATTTTTGTCTCTTCTACTTTGCCAGTTCAAGGCAAAGATGCTCACTCTCACACTGGAGGTACTAGAGGAGCAACCAGACCTGATGTTTCTTAAAAAATGGTATCCAATAAAAAAGGAATAAGTTAAATTATCTCTGTTTACAGATGACATGATTCTATATGTTAAAAAACCCTAAATACTCCATTAAAAAACTGTTAGAAGTAATAAATGGCCTCAGTAAAGTTGCAGGATATAAAACTCAACATATAAAATCAGTTGCAATTCTTTATGCCAAAAGCGTAAAACTGTTTGTTTTTGTGCCAATACCATGCTGTCTTTGTGATCACAGCTTTGTAATATAGCATGAAGTCAGGCAACGTGATGCCCCCAGCTTTGGTTTTCTTTTTCAACATTTCCTTGGTGATTCAGGGTCTTTTCTGGTTCCATATAAATTTTAGGATTGTTTGCTCTAGCACTTTGAAAAATGCCAATTGAATTTCAATAGGGATGGTGTTGAAAGTACAGATTGCTCTGGGTAGCATAGACATTTTAACAATGTTTATTCTTCCGATCCATGAGCATGGAATGTTTTTCCATCTTTTTGTGTCTTCTTCAATTTCTTTCATAAGTGTTCTGTAGTTTCTAGAGTATAGATACTTTACCTCTTTGGTAACTCTTTACCAAAGGTAAAGGTATCTTAGGTATCCTATGATTTTTGGTGCTATTGTAAATGGAATTGATTCCCTAATTTCTCTTTCTACAGTTACATTGTTAGTGTATAGAAATGCAACTGATTTCTGTGCATTGATTTTGTATCCTGCTACATTCCTGAATTGCTGTATGAGTTCTAGTAATTTGGGGGTGGAGTCTTTGGGTTTTCCACATAAAGTATCATGTCATCTGCGAAAGAAAGAGAGTTTCACTTCTTCTTTGCCAGTTTGAATACATTTTATTTCTTTTTGTTGTCCCATTGCTGTCGCTAGGACTTCCAGTACTATGTTGAACAATAATGGCAGGAGTGGGCATCCTTGTTGTGTTCCTGATCTTAAAGGAAAAGCTCTTAGCTTTTCCCCATTGAGAATGATATTCGTTGTGGGCTTTTCAGAGATGGTTGTTATGAAATTGAGGAATGTTCCCTCTATCTGTATACTCTGAAAATTTTTAATCAGGAAAGAATGCTGTACTTTGTCAAATGCTTTTTATGCATCAATTGAGAGAATCATGTGGTTCTTGTCTTTTCTTTTATTAATGTGTTCTGTCACATTGATTGATTTGTGAATGTTGAACCACCCTTGCCTCCCAGGAATAAATACCACCTGGTTGTGATGCCTAAGCTTTTTAATGTACTGTTGGATCCTATTGGCTAGGATCTTGTTGAGAATTTTGGCATCCATATTCATCAGGGATATTGGTCTGTAATTCTCCTTTTTGATGGGGTCTTTGCCTGGTTTTGGATCAGGGTAATGCTGGCCTCATAGAACGAGTTTGGAAGTTTTCCTTCTGTGTCTATTTTTTTGAAACAGCTTTGGAGAATAGGTATTATTTCTTCTTTAAATGTTTGGTAGAATTCCCCTGGGAAGGCATCTGCCCTGGACTCTTGTTTTTTGGGAGGTTTTTTATCACTGCTTCAATTTTGTTACTGGCTATATTGGTCTATTCAGATGGTAAATTTCTTCCTGTTTCAGTCTTGGTAGTTTATGGGTTTCCAGGAAGGCCCATCCATTTTTTCCAGGTAGCTTAATTTATTGGCATATAGTTGCTGATAATAATTTCTAGTTATTTCTATTTCCTTGGTGTTAGTCGTGATCTCTCCCCATTCTTTCATGATTTTATTAATTTGGGTCCTTTCTCTTTTCTTTTGGATAACTCTGACAGGTGATTTATTGATCTTACTAATTCTTTCAAAAAACCAGCTTCTAGTTTCATTGATTTGCTCAACTGTTTTTCTGGTTTCTATTTCATTGATCTCTGTTCTAATCTTCATTATTTCTCTTCTCCTGCTTGGTTTAGGTTTTATTTGCTGTTCTTTCTCCAGTTCCTTTAAGTGTATGGTTAGCTTGTGCATTCAGGATTTTTATACTTTTATACTTTTTTGAGTGAGGCTTGTATGGCTATGTACTTCCCCCTTAGGACCACCTTTGCAGTATCCCATAGGTTTTGTACCAAATGTTTTCTTGTTCTCATTGGTTTCTGTGAATTGTTTAAGTTCTTCTTTAATTTCCTGGTTGACCCAAACATTCTTATGCAGGATGGTCTTTAGCTTCCAAGTGTTTGGATTCCTTCCAAATTTTTCTTGTGATTGAGTTTCAAAGCATTATCGTCTGAAAATATGCAGGGAATAATCTCAATCTTTTGGTATCTGTTGAGACCTGATTTGTGACCCAGTATGTGATCTATTCTGGAGAAAGTTTCATGTGCACTCGAGAAGAATGAGTGTTCTGTTGTATTAGGGTAGAATGTTCTGTATATATCTCTGAAGTCCATCTTGTCCAATGTGTCATTCAAAGCTCTTGTTTCTTTGTTCATCTTCTGCTTAGATGATCTGTCCATTACTGTGAGTGGAGTGTTGAAGTTTCCTACTATTAAAGTATTATTATCAATATGATTCTTTATTTTGGTTTACCTGTGTCTTATTGTTGGCTGCTCCCATGTTGGAGGCACAGATAGTTACATTGTTATATCTTCTTGTTGGATAGACCTTTTAAGAATGATATAGTGTCTGTCTGTATCTCTTCCTACAGTCTTTTTTTTTTAAGGTTTTATTTGTTTATTTGACAGAGAAAGACAATGTGAGAGAAAGAACACAAGCAGGGGGAGTGGGAGAGGGAGAAGCAGGCTTCCTGCTGAGCAGGGAGCCTGATTCGAGGCTCAATCCCAGGACCCTGGGATCATGACCTGAGCCAAAGGCAGACACTTAATGACTGAGCCACCCAGGCGACCCTCTTACTACAGTCTTTAGCTTAAAATCTAATTTGTCTGATATGAGAATTTCTACCCCAGCTTTCTTTTGAGGTCCTTTGGCATGAAAAATGTTTCTCACTTTTAGTCTGGATGTATCTTTAGGTTCAAAATGAGTCTCTTGTAGACAGCATATGGATGTGTCATGTCTTTTTATCCAATCTTCAACCCTCTGCTGTTTCATAGGAGCATTTAGGTCATTCATGTTGAGAGTGACTATTGGAAGATATGATATATTTTTTAAAGATTTTATTTATTTATTTGACAGAGAGATACAGTGAGAGAGGGAACAAAAGCGGGGGGGGGTGGGAGAGGGAGGAGCAGGCTTCCCGCCGAGCAGGGAGCCTGATGTGGGGCTTGATCCCAGGACCCTGGAACCATGACCTGAGCCGAAGGCAGACGCTTAGCTGACTGAGCCACCCTGGCTTATCGATTCCTTTTTAAAAATCTTTTTAAATTGTCATCTTTACACTCATATATTCCATCCCTTCATTGTATTTACCCTTATTCTTGTGTGTGTGTTTGTGTGTGTGTGTGTGTGTGTGTGTGTGTATTTATTCTCTCAAATTTTGGGATGCAGTTTCTTCTAAAAGACCAACATACACCCAAAATCTGTGGCTCTGTTCTATTCACCAGACTAATCATATTCTTTTCTTTTTTTCCTTTCTTTTCCCCCTGGTTTCAGGTCTCTTCTAATTTGTTTAGTGTATATTTTTCTGGGGTCTTT